ACACACACACACACACACACACACACACACACACACACACACACACACTCACACATACACCTATGACATCTTTTGGCGACAGAAAGATCTTTCATAGCTCCTGATTTATCTTGCAAGCTAACTTCTGAGCACAGGCAGTTTAGAAAGCATTGCTGTCCTCCATAGTGTCCAGCAGGGATCTTAGCACAGAGACCGTGCTTCCTTTAGGGTGCACCTTGTACTGCTTGGAAGAGAACTTCGGGAATGAGGGCTTTTCACCTACAGAGTGCAAAGGATGAAGGGAAAGGTGAGCATCCCAGGGATGCCTCACACGAGCTGCAAGCACTGTGCCACGAGGAGGAGTCAGGAGAAGGTAGGCATGGCAGCTCAGAAGGTGCTCATCTAACTTCTCACTGCAAATGGTCAGGCCATTTCCTGGGCTAGTCCTGAGAGATCTGGGGGTCTGTCTAGAGCCCCCCTTTATGCAGCCATAGAAACTTGAAGAAATGGAGTTCCCACTTGCTCTTTCTGCTTCCTGGCTGTTGTGAAGGGATTAGTCTCTGCTACCACATGTTTCCACTGCCCTGGCATTCAGCCTTCTCTCAGGCCCACAGCAATGGAGCCTAGTGACCAAGCATGAGAATCTCTGAAACTGTGAGCAAAACAAATCTTTCCTCCTTTCAATTGTTTGCCTCAGAGTATTTTCTTATCTTATCTTAACAATGGAAGGCTAGTAGGAAATTGGTTTAAAGGGGCGTGGCTATCAGATTTCATATGCAAATGAGGGCTCCACTAGGAATTGTTCTAGAGGTCATTGATATTACATTGTGATAAAGAACGTATTAATCTGGTGGAGCAAATTAAGACAGGACAATCACTCTTGATGTGGTATGGGCACTCCTGGCTACTAGAATACTGGCCAGGTTTATAATGAAAACGGAACACAAAGAGCAGAGTGGAAAGACTTGAGAGACTTTGTAGTTTAGACAGAAAAGTGCCCAGAAAATGGGGGCTAAAGACGGTGGTGTTGCTGAGGGGATGGCGTCATTAAAAAGAAGCCGGAACTTTGACGAGGACAACAGAGAGCACGTTTCGAGGCATCTCAAGAACTGGCCAGTCTCAAGCAGTAAAAGTACAAATTTGTTTGAAAGGCTTTGCTCTGAGGAGTGAACGCTGAGAAGCCCAGCTCACGTGGGATTGACCAGAATTGGCTCTAAGGAGTTACTTCACCAGGCTCAGTCTCCGCCACACAGCAACTACTGCAGCCATGATCTGAGTGGGCCCACTGATTGCCCGAGTTGCTGGCAGACCTTGGCATCCTTCATGACACTAATTTTATTAACATAGAAAATGCAAGAGCTGATCATAGAGATTTTCACCCAAATGCCACAGGGAAGCTTGGGAGGCCATGTGTCATGCAGTAAAGGGGCCTCGGAAAGGACAGAACACGGAGCTGTGAGAGTGAAGTGGGGGCTGCAGTGGAGACCCCAGGAAGTTAGAGATGCCGGAACATGGAACATTTGTTGAGGAAAGGTACCACAATGAGCAGAGTGAGCCCAAGGGTAGCCATAGTGATGACGCTGCCACATTCCTGTGGAGGTACCATCCTATCAGCACATGCCCCAGATGCTGGGCATGGAGTTATAGATTGAATATTTGTCTTGCTGGGTTTGATTTTGCTTTGTTCTGTCTCCTTTTTATATGCTCCCACTCCCAATTCTCTCCTTCTGTAATGGAAACCTTCATTCTGTGCCATTTTGTGTTGGAAATATGCAAATAGATTTGTTTGGTTTTTGTTGTTGTTGTTGTTGTTGAGACGGGGTTTCTCTCTGCAGCCCTGGCTTTCCTGGAACTCACTCTGTAGACCAGGCTGACTTCAAACTCACAGAGATCCACCTGCCTCTACTTCCCAAATGCTGGGATCAAAGGTGTGCAACACCACCACCCACTGCCCACTGCAATGGATTTTTTAATCTGTGCAGACTTGCAGCTAAGAGTCTTGTCTTAGACTCTGACCTTCCAACAGTACTGAAACGGTTAAGAACATGAAGTTTCCTGGAGACAGACGGCGTTGTGCCTGGTGAGCCTCTGAGAGCAGGAGTGGGATGCTGTAGTTTGGATGTAGAATGTCACCAGAGGCTGTGCTGAAGGTTTGGTTCTAGCTAACGATATTTTTGTGGGTGGGGCCCCAGTTACGACGCGGGGCAGAGTGGAAGCAGGTCACTGGGAACACGCCTCTGAATGGTGGGTTTTGGTCTTGCCCCTTCCTTCTGCTCTCTTTTGCTGTTCCTGCCTCCCAGGAGTTGCCAGTTTTGTTCTGTTTTGCTGTAGGCCCATTGTGACAGTGCCAAACAATTACAGAGCAAAGCCTCGAGAACGATGAGTCAAACGTGTCCTTCTCTGAGCTGAGTTCCTCGGGCATTTTAATACAGTGGCAGAAACCTAATGCACACGTTGAAAGGGAAAGATGCTTGCTACAGTCTGTCTAACTACAGAACATTAAGGATGTCTGCTGTGGTCTGGGAACACTTGTGTGGAGTTCCAGGGGCATTTGCTCAGTTACAAAGACTTTCAGTGTTTACTATGTTTTTCTCTGTGCCATCTAACTATCAACTGGGATGTTGAAATGGAAATTGAAACATTTTAAATGGTAATCAGAAACAGGAATAAAAAAAACCACTTTCCTGTGAAATAGCCATTTCCCAAACATCTAGCCAGGAGGGATTGCTCCAAATCTGACTGGAAGATTCCATTCCAAACCACTGATGGAACAGTCTTTCTCACCTACTTAGAATCCTTACACTTGCCTCGCAGCTAAGTTCATTTCTTTCTCTCCTTAGTCTGGCTTTGTTTGTATGGAAGGTACTGTGGTGTTCATGGCTTGAGCTAGAGTGCCATTATTTGCTCATAGACTGTGATAGTCCCTTTTGTTTCTGGTCCTCTCTACCTAGGTCCTAAACACCCATGATGGCTCATTAGCTCCAGACAGCATTCCTTGGAAGAGGCATGATATGTCCCAAACCTCTGTTCCCTAGAGCCAGAGTTAAAGGACATTGTGAACCCTCCAACGTGGGTTCTGAGAATTGAACTCAGGTCCTCTGGAAGAGCAGTATACACTCTAATCACCGAGCAATCTCTTGTCTCCATGTTTTCTTTACACACCAAAAGCACCTGTTTCTTGGCGTAAATGGGTCTATTAAGAGCCATTGCTGAGGAAGGGCCTAGGTTCACAGTAACACAGAGAAAGAGAGGATGTGTCAGAATGAAGGATGCTGTTCTGGGGTTGACCTTTTTCGCATCTCTGTCTATACCCACCTATTCACACATGCAATTTCCACATAGATTCTGTTTAGAGGGTCCAGGGGCTTCTGTACTAGTGCTCTGACTGGCGAAATGCACATGTGGGTCCCTCTGCCCCAGCACTGGGTTTCACTCCCAGCATCCTGGAGAGACTGGACCCAGCAGTCTCTCAGAGAGGTCCTAGCCCAGTTCCTCGATGTACCATACCCAGTGTCAGTGTGCCAGCCCAGCAGTGCCTGGCCTCCTGGTTCCCAGACTGTGGCTAACCTCAGAACCCTTTCCTTGGCATGCCAGTACCAGAGACACAGGGTGCTGTCTGTTGGATGTGACATGAGTTCGTTTGCATTCTTTTTTTTTTTTTTTTTTTTTTTTTTTTTTTTTTTTTTTTGGTTTTTCGAGACAGGGTTTCTCTGTGTAGCTTTGCGCCTTTCCTGGGACTCACTTGGTAGCCCAGGCTGGCCTCGAACTCACAGAGATCCGCCTGGCTCTGCCTCCCGAGTGCTGGGATTAAAGGCGTGCGCCACCACCGCCCGGCCTCGTTTGCATTCTTAATGTGCTCTTCCGTAGCACTCTGCCTGAAACGCCGTTTTGAGAACTATTGCGCTCTCCTCGTTTTCCTTCATCGACAAGGTAACAGACCTAACACCCAGCCCAAGAGTAGCAGCTCTCATAAGTAACTGCTGGTCCCATTTTATGTGACTGAATTCCTAATGAGTATGTGAGGATTACTCCAAAAAAGAAACAGTTCTTCAGAGGATGGCTGTATCTGGAGAGAAGGCAGGATGTACAAGAAGCGAGGCAGACAGAGGCCTGAGCTCTGCGCCCCCAGGGACCCACGGAGAGCAAGCAAGTCTGCCAACTGTGTCAGAAGACCAGGGCTGACATCTCCGCCCTGCTAACTTCTGCTTCTGTTTGAGCCTCAGTGTCCTGGTCTTTACAGACAGACAGGGACTAGACTACTTCAAGGATTGAAAGGGACCACACGGTGCTTGTGGGGGTTGGGAGCTGCCTCCTTCATCCCCTCCCCTGCTGGGACCTGGGATGGAGACAGATTTCTATTCCAGAAGACATGGCCAGAGATAAACAGAGGACAGGGCCCCTTTCTCAAGTCAGTGATTTCTAGTCACCAGACGTGCCTTTGCCTGCTGTGTGGACTCTCAGGGGATTCATTCCGGCCAGTGTTAGTCACAGAGGCTCCTTGCCAGAATTCTAGTTTATCATGTGACTCACTGCTATCAAACCACCCCCTGACCCCCACCCCGCTAATTCTCTTGTGACAAAGCAGCCACCCTTTCCCCTGTGCATCTTGGGGCACAGAGCATGTCTGACTGTGGTCTGCTCCCTGGTATCCAGGCTGCTTGGGTGAATCCCCAAGGCAGTGAGCGCTGTTTCCCAGTCTCAGGCCAGCATCCATGAGTTCTCAGAGGGTGCCTGCATAGGCGGAGAGGACCACCCCACCCCCCCAGCCCAGCCTCCCACACTTCTTTCCCCTCCTCATTCATCTTCCGGGCAGGGAGTGTGGGCTGCCAACTCCAGCAGTGCTGCAATGACTCAACGTCTCCTTCATGAGCCTGTGTGGGTTGAGGGCCGCTGGGGCAGCCGCAGGCTCTGGAGCTAGCACCAAGAGGCGCTCGCAAGCGCAGGGTGTCACCATGAGACGTGTGCGCTTCCTTTTTGTCCTGTGGAGAAAAACAGTACAAGGAGGGGAAAGAAGAGCCACCTTGCTGTTTTACCCATTTATTATTTACAATATTAAGGCACAAAGTTTAAGCAGCAAAGAACAGGAAAATCTTTGGCTGACCAACAGTATCCATATCCACTGTGGGGGGACTTGTCCACTCTGCACATGGACCCATCTGTACAGATCTGTACACCACCTCTCAATACAGTCCAGACACAAAGATGCCAAAGATTACATGTGGATACCAGAGCGTGCTGGGCAGCGCGGCACATGCCCCCAGCACAGGGACACACGACCACCACCCCCCCACACACACACACAGGGCAAGCGGAAAGGACAGTGGCCCCAGGGCACTCAGGCTGATGCTGGCGCCTGTGCTGACTGTTCCAGAGTCTGACACAGATTCTGTCAGTGCCTCACTGAGGAGGAGGCGCCACCGTCCCTCCTAGAAAACATTCAAATACAAGTACTGTGGATAAGCCTGTCCCCACTCTGCTTTGTAATAAATACTCACAGGTGTGTATGTGAGAGCAGACTCCCAGGCAAAGTCACGAGTAAACAGACCACAGGCGATAAAACAGAGAAGCTGATCCTAGAAACTGCTGTACATGCATTGCCTTGAAGGGAGGGCAGAGGACACACCTCAGTCACAGCACACACGACAATAACATGCACTTAAGTATGTCTCCATTTTACAGAATACCTACTACTGGGTGTTCATACTAATGGATGTGTACTTAGGTCTGTAGCTTATGCGGGGGGGAGGGGGGCTGGCAAGAGAAACGGGCTTGAAAACAAGGCCCCAAAGGTCACATGTACTGACAACTCTTCCTACATGTCTTGATAGTCTTCTAAAAACTGTGTGTGTGTGTGTGTGTGTGTGTGTGTGTGTGTAGGCCAGAGGAGCATTTGCAGGAGCTGGTTCCCTCCTCCTACCACGTGAGTCCTGGGGATCTTGGCTTTGGAGGCAATGCCTGTTCCACTGAGCCATCTCGCTGGCCCTGGGACTCTTATTCTGACTCATTGCCCTCTGTGTTCATACTTAAATCCACTTTAAAAAAACAAGGACCTCTGACCTCACGGGGAATCAGGGGAACGTGCCAGACCCTGGAGGCCATTCTGCTAGAGAAGTCAACAACTGATTTACCTGGGGAGCCCTGCGGCCCTCCCAAGCAGAAAGCTCATGGCAAACAGTAGGAGTTTCTGGATATTAAGAAATTCCACCTCATATGTATGCACTTACATATACACATTGTATTATACTATTAAATTACTAAACAAGAAAGGGTATGCTACTGATAACAGGGAAAAATACTGCTAGCCGGCTGGCTTCTGAGGTTTGTTACTATACAGCCTATCTCCCATGGAGCCGCCCCACAAGCAAATGCTTTAAACAACCCTCACACCAACTAAGGACATTTAGAACACAGTAATCAATTAGAAAGAGTATAAGAAAGCCAACATACATACTTAGAGACTGGCTGACTCCACTTTGGGGGAAGTTCCTGGTTTTTCTCTGGCTTCACCATTTAAGAACATTTGCCAGATCTTGTTTCCAACATCCACAAGACTCCTTTGCTTAAAAGGGGGTGTGCGATCACCGGAGAACACAGAGAAACATTGCACTCCAATGCAGACAAGGAAGAGGTTGTGTGCTTGGAGAACGCACCCTCCCACTCAGCACAGCTCTCCGCAGCCTACACGAGAGACCTGCCTGGAAACCCCTTACAAATCACTGTGACCTTACTGTCTCCGGGACTTCAGCCTTATCTGACAGTTCGTAAAAGTCTCTAGTCTGTGGCAGGGAGAGGAGGACCCAGCTCATCAGCTCTTGGAAGGAGGAGCTTCAGCCACTACATTTAATGTGAGGTGCTGAGGCCAAGCAGGGGACAGTCAACAGGACACGTATCTGGCCTCTCTGCAGGGGACACCAGAGCTGCTTTCCTGATTGTAGAACCGCTGGCTTCTCTGTTCTGAGGCCAGAAACTCACTTGGAACAACTTTCTTGATCCACTCAAAGTGAAACGTCAAGCTACATGGGCTCCAAAGAGAGACCTTTGCAGGACTGAACAAGACTGGTCCCCTAGTCCTTGTCCCTACCCCTAAGAAAAGCTGGAGGTACAGCAGGGCAGCCCACCCAGGAGGCACAGTGGGAACATGCTGGACACTCCACAGTTCCTGGTCAACAGCTTCTGGGAAGCAGAAAGAACAATGTCAAGTGCTCAGCACACACTCTTAATTCTTTGGAAATTAATGTGTTTTCCCCAGCAGCTTAGTGCTGTGAACCTCCAGACAGGACGAGTTCTTACATACAGAACCATCTACTTAATGAAACCACCCAGTGGCAGAGACCTGACCTACACTTCTCATGTTCCACCTGATACCTGGAAGCAGGCAGACATCACCACATGGCCCACTCAAGGATGAAGCAGGATGCTGGTCAAGTTATCACTAAACGCCATGGCCTTCACCCTTTACCCTGAGACAAGAGCCTCAGATCCCATGGTCAAATGCTCCTGGGATGCCTGAAGACTAGACATCTGCTCTATGAGGAAGGGCTCTTTTAAAAAAAAAAATCTGCTTTGTCGTTGTGCTTTTAACAGAACATGAAGACTTCTGTCCCCGCCTGAGGGTGGCGGGGTTTGGTACTTATAGGTTTGGGCTTAGTCCTGTTCTCAGGCCCCAAGAGGTGTGACAGCTTCCCTGTGTGCACACAAGTATCATAAACGGGGCCACAGAGCACCCAGGTACAGCTCTGCGCATCACGTTCAAGGCTGTGGACTGCTCTTCTGAGTCTTAGCATCGGCTTCGAAGCTTGGAGACGGGCTGTAAGCCTCTTGGGTCCAGTTTCGGCATCTGTGTGTGCGCTCAGGAGATTGTTCCTGGCCTTGTTCCCCTGGTGCTTTATGAACCAGTTAACGGGCACTTTTTCTGGTCCTGCATGCCGTCAGCACTAAAATACCTACGTAGTGCTGTTGTTCTCAGTGTCAAGATCAGATACTGTGGACAGCCCAGAGCTCGGAATGGCTGCTGAGTGCTAAAGCTCCTTCGTCCTGTATTTTCTAAGAGAATTACATAATGGAAGTCCAAAGGGCCTTGGCCTTAACGCCATAGACATTTTCTCAACATGGAGTCTTGGACGAAAGCCACAGTACACATGTAGTTAAAGCCCCCAAACTGTCCGCGTCCCCTTTGTGTTTTGACAACTGAAATATTGACGGTGCAGGAGGGAGGGCTGGAGCAGGGACCTTCTGCCCAAGTGTGCAGTGTGTCTGGAATACTCACACTAGACTTTGAGTAAATGGGGCAGTGCTTCACCCCTATGCTGGGAGACATGCCACCGAAGTTTGGGCAGAGGGGCTCAGACATGGCATAGGGCTGGAAGACCTCACGAATTTCCCACCTCTATACACTCTCCTGTCTAGTTTGTCCCCAACACTAATTGGAGACAACATGCTCTTAAGAGAGCTAGTTGCCATTAACTAAACTCCATGCCCTATCCAAAATGGTCCCCACCCCAACCTGCACCCATCCTCCAGCTCCTCGCAGCTGGCGAGATCTCCTACACTGTCTTCTCACCCCTCCCCCACAGGACACGGGGCAAGCCCGGTACTCAAGCTGCCAGAGATATGAGACAAGAAGAGGTAAGGGGCTGGTGGGAGCTCCAAGGCCAGTGTCCACTGCCAGGTGGAACTTGGGGAGGCCAGTCCCACCTCCTTTGTCCTGTCAGATGGCTCAGGTGTTGGACAACACCACTTCTCCTCTGATCTGATCTGATCTGATCTCCAGGCTACATCTCTCACAATCCATGCACCACCTCAACCTGGGGAGGTCACAATTTCACTCAGGTTTTCCCCTGGGGACAAGTCCTGGAACAAATGACCCGAGCAGAGCTCCCCGAGCAGATCCATCTTCAGGGCTGCGTTTAAGAGGGACTTTAAAAATCACAGACTTAGCGCTCTTCTTTCTTCCCTTGAGGGAAAAGTTGTGATGAGGAAAGGGACTTGGAAAACAAATCCTACTGAGCTGGGGAAAGTTCAGGAGCCTGAAGGGCCAGCCATCTGTGCCCTGGAAGGCTTTTCTTGTGCCCTGCAGGAGGCCAGCATCCACAGCAATGTGCAGGACACTTTACTGTGGCCACAGCCCCAGGGCCCTGCCCCTCGCTCATGGTGGCTCATTTCCATGACATGGCTGCCTCACTTCAGGTAAGCTGCATCCCTTGTGAGATGCTGGCCACGCCGTGTGTCTACCAATCTTGGATTACAAAGCAAGGCCACAGGAAAGAAGGGATCAGGGAAGCCTTTGTGCTCACCAACAGCAACCAGGGCAGAATGGGACGGCGGAGAGCAATGGGAAGACTGGAAAGCCTCAAATCTGAGAAAGTGGCCCAGAATGCCTGGTGAGATCTTGGCAGCTGCCTGGGGAGCTGTGTGTAAACCACCATCAGGAACCTGCACACCTGTTCACACTGAGGTCTTCCTGGCAGGACAATGGGGCATAACTGTCAGGCTTCTTGCAGGAGAGTAGATGTGAGTGAAAACCAAATTAGAGGCATGATGTGACGTCAGTGACTCATGGACTCCTGCTCCCCATCCAGGTTTCCTGGCTCACGTGAAATTAACAGCTGCAGCTCAGCTAAGCAAAGGTGAGGGGTGGGGGCAGCCAGGGTGCCAGCATGAGGCTCTGTCCCACTGGACACCACAGCAAAAATGACAGTCTCCTAAGTCCCAAGTGTAAGGAAATCTGCTATGTCTCAGAAAACAGAAAAAAACACGACAAAGTAAAGTAAGGAAATAGAGCAGAGGCAGAGACAAGCTCCAAGGAGTTAGGGTGGGTGAGGACGTGGTCACAACACTCCCATCCTGTTCAGACAAGCAAAGCCTCACACTGAGCCCACAAACCAAACAGCCGAGTAGGTGCCTGTGGAATTCCCCATTACCCTGGATGTATCTTCAAAGGACAGGCACACACACACACACACACACACACACACACACACACACACACACGCACACGCACACGCACACACAAGCATGCACACGTGCAACCCCATGATGACACAGAAACACTACATTATGCCAAGATGGGTTTTCAGGATTTCCAGCAGATTCTTCTTAAACCAAACCTTCTAAGAGGCAAAGGGAATGGGGTGGTTCCAAGGAAGGCCCAGCTCTTCTTCATCTGTCTATAAGCCAAGAATAGGGGAAGCATGGAGCCGCCCCATGACATACACTTTCTCTACAATGGAAAATCTCACTCCTATTTCTTCTCAACTCTGCTTCCAAGTCTGCATGCATCTTTTCTCCCTTCCTGCAGTCCTGTGAGCCAGCTGCTTTGGTAACATGAAGTGTCCACACCTGTCCTGGTTTCCCAGCTACTACCATCTAGGTCTTCTCTTCTTTCAGCCATCTTTCTTGTCAGCATGCTGGTGTGAAGCTCCACAGGACGAGGGCTAGATGAGCACCTCCATCATCTCCCCATCTGGGAACTCGGGCTTGTGCAATGAGCTGCTGACACGGCTTCTGTGGTCTGTCGACTTCCCATGGCCAGGAGAGCTCTCTGTCAAACCGAGGGCAAGCATCAGCAACCAGGAGCAGGTGCCTTGGTTCCCAAGCATTTCTAATGTCCTGGCCTGCCTGAGAGTCTCAGGCACCTTGGTGTACTCATGGGAGGCTGAGAATATCTCAGTGGGAGTACAGAATGACTAGTGGGGGGCTCCCAGAGAAGACAGTGTCTTAGGGTTCTGGACTGAGTAAAAATTAAGAAAGGAGAAAGCTGCTGAAGACCCAAATTCCCCTATTTCCTGTCTGCAAAGATGTGAACAAGCAGCCTCACATTTCAGTCCTGCCTTGCTGTACCTACTGTGATAGACTGTTCCCCCAAGCCATGAGCCCACAGTAAATCCCCCTCCCCTAAGTTACTTCTATCAGATATTTGTTCTACCTACCCCCGGGCAGGGTAGAACACACATATGGCCAGGTCACTCGAGCTGGGTGCTCCTCTTCTCTAGTAATGAACTAAGCACATCTAGACATATTTTAGTCTAACAACAAAGAACACACACAGTCTGAAAGTCACTGTGATGACCACTACTGAAACACAGCAGCCAGCTGGGCTTCCTGAACTTTCCACAGCTCCCATCTAGATTCCCTCCCTCAAGTCACACAGTCTCATGGGGACTCCAAGCGAGGTAGAGGTAGGGGCTACATACCCGGTTTCTCCACGGTCCCTTTGGCAGCTGGGTGTTTCAGGATGGGGCTGTTGGAAGGGGCGGTGCTCAGCCTGCCGCGGCTGGGGAGGGAAGCCATGCTGGGCCAGAAGAGCTCAGTGCTCTTGTCTGTCTGGGTGCTGCTGTCCTTGCTGCCTGTCTTGGCATGGGTGCTGCCCGCCGACGTGGCGGAAGCCGGAGGGGACAGTGCAGAGGCAGGTGTGGTTGGCAGCAGAGGGCCAGAGGCCTGGCCCTGATGCTCCTTCCCCAGCAGGAATCCTGAAGGAAGAAGTCACTTTTCAAGGATGATCTGTTTCCCTCCATTGCCTTTTGTAAGAAAACTTACCTTTTTTTTTCCAGAGTAGGAATGACTTCATTTATTCAATGATTTATTCACTAAACCCTTAATAAGCATGTGTGTGCGTGTGTGCTTAATGAGATGAGAAATACTCCTATATTATGTCCCCAGTCCTAGGTAATTACATTCTTTGTGGAGTTGGTATTTGTATTCTAAATTCAAACAACTGAAAACCATAGTTGGATTGGTGGGGTATGTCTGAGGGTAAAAAGACCCTTGCCACTCAGCCCTGCCAATCTGAATCCCACCTCACCACTGCCCAGACTCAGACACAGTGATCCAGATGTGGGAGAAGAATAAATCTCTCCTGGGATCTGCTCAGCAATTAAGAAGGTGGACACTGTTGTCTCCGACACCTCTTCAAGTCCATCATGTGCGAAATGGGAAAACCTGAAGTCCTGTGTAGGAGTCTGTGAAGGTGGCCTCCTGAACCCTCAGAGTCCCTCCTGTTTCTGTGACTGATATGTAGGCACCAATGACACTGATAAAGAGGTATAACAGTGCAGACAACATGGCCAGTCTTCCTTAGGCCGAGGTGCTCATCTCTCAGGCCTTGTGTTGACCTGCTAAATGTTGAGACACAAACCCAGGCATCAGCGTTGTGTACCTGGATGCATGCCACAGATTTATCCTAGAGATGTTTCCATCAGAACTGAATAATTTCAGATTCCTTAACCAGACCTGCCTCTCACTGGGTTGGGAGCTAAGTGTCCTTGGGATAGTCTTTATTATCATAGTTGCTGTCCCCACGAATCCTCTTTGATGAGCTGAGGTTATAGGGGCCACCAGTAGAGGGACTTCAAACAGATGTTCTAGCTGAGAGTCTTTGATTCCCTCAACTCTGTGGTTCATCTGGAAACCCTTATAGCTTGTAGGACAAATGAGCCAGATCCCTCTAAAGTCCTGTGCTGGAGAAAACTGACTCTGGGCAGAGCAGAGAAATGAAAACACATCCTGAGCCAGAGACAGATGCCAAAGAAGGCCAGCCCCCTGGAGTTGCCAGCAGAGGAAGGAACAGAGGACTTGGGAGCTTCCTTTCCAAGCTCACTGGCCCAGCCTGTGAGCAATCATGTCTACTTTAGGATACCACTCCAGCTAAGACCCACTCCTGGATAATTTTCAACATTCTGCCTGTACAACACGGGAAGACTCCTGTCCTTGATAGTGATTCTCTGAGCACACTTTCCCCATTATTTGCTTGAGCCTTTTCATGTCCCACAGGTTTAGACACACTATGAAGTGACATTCTCAGGGTTTGGTAGTTTGAATGCAATTGGCCCCTATAATCTCACAGGGAGTGGCACTATTAGGAGGTGTGGCTTTGTTGGAGTGGGTAAGACCTTGTTGGAGGAAGTGCGTCACTTGGGGGTGGGCTTTGAGGTTTCCTATGCTCAGGATACCGCCCAGTGTGTCAGTCAACTTCCTGTTGCCTGCAAGAAGTAGGACTCTCAGCTCCAGCACCTCGTCTGCCTGCACACCACCATGCTCCCCACCATGATGGTAATGGACTGAACCTCTGAAACTGTAAGCAAGCCCCCTCAATTAAATGTTTTCCTTATAAGAATTGCCTTGGCCAAGGTGTCTCTTCACAGCAATAGAAACCTAACTAAGACATGGGGCTCTAGGTTTGTCCTGTTAAGACATTTTATATAGTTCCTGTCAACAATATTGGTAAGAATCAACGTAAGCCCAAGAGCTTGCATAACCTTCAGAATCTACACAGCGCTTTCATGCATCTGATTTAACTCTCCAATCCAACATGACTGGCTTTCCTCCCCAACTGAAGAATGTTTAAATTGAGATGAAAGGGGGCGGGGGCTGGAGAGATGGCTCAGAGGTTAAGAGCACTGGCTGCTCTTCCAGAGGTCCTAAGTTCAATTCCCAGCATCCACATGGTGGCTCACAACCATCTAGAATGAGGGCTGGTGACCTCTTCTGGCATGCAGATGGAACACTGTATACATAATAAATAAAATATTTTTAAAAATTGAGATGAGGCCGGGCGGTGGTGGCGCACGCCTTTAATCCCAGCACTCGGGAGGCAGAGCCAGGTGGATCTCTGTGAGTTCGAGGCCAGCCTGGACTACCAAGGGAGTCCCAGGAAAGGCACAAAGCTACACAGAGAAACCCTGTCTCAAAAAACCAAAAAAAAAAAAAAAATTGAGATGAGGTGACATCCTGAGTCCTGGCAGTGATGGGGAGGCCACCTGCCAGGGCCCTGCTCTCTGGGTCCACATCTCACCTATACTCCCCTTCCAGGTCTTCTCTTCCTTCTTCTCTTCCGCCAGCTGGCTGCTGGTAAGTGAAGTCTGGCGGGAATGTGTCCCGGTGGTTGCTGCAATGGATGGGACAGAGCGGGCGGGCCGCAGGCTGGAAGAGTCTGTCTTCCCAGTGTCCTTACGGGACCGCTGCTGAAGGACCTTTATCATGGCATCCTTCTCTATGATTTTGGCATGGAGGTTTTTAATACTATAAAACCAAACCAAAGAAGAACAAAACTATGATTAAAATGCCATTTAGTTAGAAAACTCTGGAACACTTGTCTCAGGGATTTCCAGAGTAATTCTGAGATACAGGGTTGGTGTACAGAAGCTGTCAATCATCAGCAGTCTGCAAGCTGTGCCCTTCACAGTAGATCCAAACAATGCACCTTTCCCAGTGCCTTGGAGACTGGAGGACTCCCAGGAGGGCTGTGAGAATGACTGTAGCTTTCTGTTAGGGACTCCAAGGACTAAGCTGCTTGTGGATCGCATTTAGGGGAAAGAATGGAGGTAGGAATACTGGGGAGCACAGGAGCTCTGGCCCAAAGCAAGGTAAGCTGTAACTGCAGGGTAACTTCTACAGTGGGAAAAAAAGAAAGAAATGCTAAGTTCTTAGAGGGAAGATGACTTTCCCCACTGATGGCTGAAGATAAGCAGTAAGCCTTGGGTTCTTTTCTAACTCTGATAGATACTTGCTGAGCCTATTTCTGGCTCAGTCTGGAAGCCCTGTTTTCACTTGAGCACATGGAGACTCAGGACTGGGGTCCATAGGTGCTCCAATGACATAACCCCCGCTGGAAATTGTGTGTCCGTGAGAGGATCGCACACTGACTGTTTAAAACTCTTTGTCTTTGGTGGAAAAGGTAATTCTGGCTGCAAATCTTTGGTCCTCAAGGGTGAAATTTCTTTCTCTTTCTCGGCTCACAGTATTGTGGAGGTTATAGAAACAAATGCCTGAACTAGCAGGGACACACATTCTCCAGGTATAGATAGCTCATCTTCACTTGTCTCCCTACAGACCCGTTGTATGGAACCACTTGCTTCTCTCCAGGACAAGAGTCTTGGGGGTCCTTAGGCTCCTGCCAGTTAGAACCGAGAACAGTGTGCCTCAGGGGCGGGGGTAGGCTGGAGCAGAAGTGTACCAGCAGCAGGTATCTCCACTTAGATCTGCTGGCCATACATGGCTGTCCTTACGTGTACTCCATGTCCTGACACCTCCTGTTGGCCTGCACCACCTCCTCTTCCTCCGGCCAGATGTGGGCCTCCAGGGAGCTCTCACCGTAGCTGCCGTTCCTCGAGTGGTTGACGATGGTGCTGTCCCTAGGGAGGTGAGACACACTTTGACTCAAGTCCCTCTCCTTGGTCCTCCGTGCAAACACACTCAGAATGGAGAGAGTGGGGTTTACTTCCTAACAGATGTGTGCTTTGTACTCTAGAGGAAACCAACAGTCCTCATCCTCCGCTCTCCCACCTTGGGGGTCAGTCTTGTTAGAGGCTGGAATGAGGAACGCTGTAAACACTTCAAGAAAAGTCAACGAAGGGACACATGCTCCAAAGTGTCCCAGAAAAGCCCTCTGCCTGCCAGATTGTCCTAACTCTTGGCCCGATTTTCTTTCTAAACATAAAGAATTAAGGCACTAAGGGCTGTGCTCACTGACCTTGATTACTGCAGCTCTAACCTCTCATCAAAGACACTGCTTTCCACAGTAGGCAGAGAGTATTACATGCATCCACAATGGGCTGAAGTACAGCGAGTAAGTGATTGACTGCAGAGAACTTGTCTCCAATGGAACATCTAGAACACAAGCCCTACATCCAGGGATCAGGGCTCATCATGGGAAAGGGGCAGAGACTGGAAGAGCGAGAGGACCCGGAGAACTGCTGAGAAATGGTGTCTTCTGGGCACGTCAGGGAAGTGCCACCTATGAACTCTCAGCAGCTATGGCTGCCTGCACAGGCCCAGCACAAGCCCATGCCAGTGCCCATTCCAGCATGGATGAGGAAGAGTCCATGGCTGCTGAGAGAGTCAGTTTTCTTTAGAGACAAACGTCCTGCTAGCTTGTCTATGCCACAGTGTCAGTCCTACACTACACGTGGATACAGGCAACACTAATTGGACTCAGTAGGGGTGCGTGTGTATGTGTGTGTGTGTGTGTGTGTGTGTGTGTGTGTGTGTGTGTGTACAGAAGAAGAGGACTTGAATTCCAGAGAGGCATATGGATAAGAGAGGGTTCTGGGAGAAGTTGGGTATGGTGAAGGATAGATAAGATTAAAAGCATTATACTCAAGCCGGGAGTGGTAGTACATGCCTTTGATCCCAGCACAGAGGATCTCTGAGAGTTCCAGGCCAGCCTGATCTACAGAGAGAGTCCCAGGACAGCCAGGGTTGATACACAAAGAAACCTTGTCTCAAAAAACCAAAACCAAAACAAAACAAAAAAAAAAGCATTATACCCATGTGAAATCATGTAAATAAACAAGAGACACTATCTATCTCAGGAAAACAGTATTCAATAATAAAAATCCCTTGCTTCTATTATCAATGCTGTTTGCTAAGCTCTGTTGATGTTATGAGGTGGGGAAGGGTGCCTATAGATGTGGTCTGCTGACACATGGATACTATCAGTACTGCAGCTGCTGCTGGCCTTGACTTACTCTGTACCCTCATCCTCGCTCAGTCTCCCAGTCACAGCTGAAGCTCTGCCTCTATGTGCTGTTATTTCAGTATTTTGCATGGGGGGTTGGTAGCTACTCAACATACAGGCCTTTTACCCTCCTTAATGGCAGCCACCAATGAGCAAGCACTTATTCATTCAGGGAACGGCAGCACATGGTACACATGGTGTCCGTTCTTACAGTGTGGTCACAGACAGTGAAACTGGGATTGGCTGACTTCTGGGACACTGTTAGTGATGGAAAGGGACCCAGGCGCAGAGATGAAGGACTGCAGAGCCCTTAACCATGCCCAGCATGGTTCAAAGTTCCATCTGTCTTTAAGAAGAAGGTCTCAGCAAAGATACATCGTGATAAAACAAACACACGAAAGGGCAGGAGTGAGAACATGACCCAGAAGAGTAAACACTGTGGCTGTGAATACATCAGAAAAGCAAATCACGGAGAAAGCAGGCAGAACACTTTGAACTACGACGCAGAATTATAAGCACCCCAGGGTTCACAGAAACAGCTACACAGGGACTAGGGGCTAGAAACATTTCCCATCAAGTTACTTGCCCAAAATTCTTGTGGCACCAGAGGCAAATTTAAAAATTCATATTTATGCTGCTGAGTAAGACGGCAGGCACTTTAGTCAAACCCAGCATAGATAGCAAGTGTCCATAAACTCTGAACAAACACTACTTTGCTTTGAGATTTGTGAAGTTTTAAAACCTTGCCCACACATTAAAACAAAACAAAAACCTCCTCTCCAAAATTCTAGCCAATGCAGTCAAGGTGAATAAAGACCTGTGTAGGTCAACCGCCATTTTTATAAGGCCAGCTGTGTCTACTTGGAAAAGACTGTCCATCTCCCATGTCAGCTAGGCTTGTTGATAGTTCCTGACAGAGGAGGGGGTGAGGAAGGTCATGAGATCTGCAACCAAAGACCACGCTTCCTAAGCAGTTGTCTGCAATTCTGCCCTGACTACACATGGCCCAAGGCCTTGGTTAGGGCTAGAGGACAGAGTAACCCCTCTCCCTCTCTGTAAGTTCTCCAGGGTGGCCTTGGTGGAGGGCCATGGTTTGCCCATGGAACCTTCTGAGGAGGGCTAGATGCTGTTCACATTTCCCCCAGGGTAAAATTTTAGCGCCAGACAGCAAAACCAGTTGGTATATAAAAGACCATATTGTTTGTTTAAAAATCAGTGCTTTTAAATGTAACACACATACCTGACTGAAAAGTCAGGACTTAATGGCTGTAAACAGTCACTTTTGGGCATTTATCTGCAGCCAATCAGCATGGAGACAGCACTCAGGATTTCAGTCTTTCTCAAAATAGGTTGTGTTGTCCTTTTCCCCTTGGATGATCAGGGAAGCCATGTTGGAATGACCAAATTGGTTTTTTGGGGTTTTTTTTTGTCTTGTTTTTATAGGATTTATTTTGTTTTCAATTGTGTAAGTTTGCTTGCACATATGCACACACAGACACACAGTGTAGGGGTGTCCAAGATGCCAGAAGAAGGTGCAGGATGCCCTGGAGCTGGAGTTTGGGCAGGTGGGAGCGCAACGCCATTCCATCTACTAGAACTTTTTTGTCTTCAAGTAGCACTGCAGCTTTAGAATTTACCTTGGGTTGGGCAGACACCTCAGTGATTGCCACGCAGACATGACCTGAGTATAAACCCCCAGAACCCATGTAGGTTTCAAGCTCGTACCACGTACCACATGTCTGTAACCCCAGCATCCCCACAGTAAGGTGAGAGGCAGAGACGGGAGACTCCCTGAAAGCTCTTGAGCCAGCTAGATCGGTATATTCCATGGGAAAGTGTGAAGAGATCCTGTGTCAGTCAAGGTAGAAGCTGAGTACCAACACTGTTCTCTGACATCCCCTCCTATGTGTTCCATGGCATGTGTGTGCCCCCACTGACATACACACACATACAAGTGTTTAAGAAAAATGGACATGAGTTAGGAAAGAGGATATAAGTTAATAGTGTTTCTATTTTTATTTATTTATTTATTTTATTTATTTTTTGGTTTTTCGAGACAGGGCTTCTCTGTGTAGCTTTGCGCCTTTCCTGGAACTCACTTGGTAGCCCAGGCTGGCCTCGAACTCACAGAGATCCACCTGGCTCTGCCTCCCGAGTGCTGGGATTTAAGGCGTGCGCCACCACCGCCCGGCTGTGTTTCTATTTTTAATTCTGTCATGGATTTTTTTTTTTGGTTTGGGTGGTAGATATGTGTATAAAATATATTTGGTGTTTTTAAGTATAAATCTAATATGAAGCCCCGCAGCTTTCCGTCCATCTTGAAAACCAATTCTAATTGTATAGATGTTCACTGAGTTGTATGGACTTTGGGTCTGGTTAATTTTCCTGTGTGATGTTTTTATTTGCAAGTTTTTTTAAAATAATAAAGTTTATAAAAATAAAAAAAAAATGGCAGATCTTGCTCTTTGTGATAGGCCTCTCTGAACCTCCTTGGGCCCCCTGAATTTTTTACTTGCTTTTGAGACAACGTTTAACTCTAGCCCAGGCTGCTCTTGAACTCCTCATCCTTGTGGCCCAGCCTTCTGAGTGCTGGGATTCCACTGTCAGCTCCGTCCCCAGCCCCATCTGTCTGCAGCCCTGAGCAGTGGGACCACCTCGCACCTCTCAGCTGTGGCAGCGGCAGCAGCACTCATGGCAAAGTGCCGGATGGTGCTTTCTTCCAGGTATTTCTGCTCCCACTTGGTCATGTCGGCCTCCAAGGCTAGGATCCGCTCCTCCTTCTCCCGTACGAGTTCCATGAGGGCAGGGGCATTATATTCCGGGAGACTGGCTGGCTGGCCATTTCCATGTTTCTGGAGAAGTAAAAACAACATCATGATGCTCCAAATGGGCCACAAGATGGATCACACCAACCTGGCCTGCCACCACCTGAAGAGGGACCCTGGGTTCTTCAATCCTGCAGTGTCTACACATCAGCATCAGCCAGGCCCATGCTCCCTCTCTCCAGCACGAACCACCTCAATTCAGTGGGTCCCAGTTCCATGCCACCTCCATATCCCTCTATTTCAACCAATATCCACATAGCTCTATAGAACACGTACTATTCCAGTTTTACATGGGGAGACTAAGGCCCTGAGAGACCGTATTCATGATGTCCTTAGCTAATGAACAGCAGAGCTGGATTTCAAATCCAGCTCTGGCTCCATATCTCAGTGTAAACCATGCCATTAATATATACAAATTCGAGGATAAGATTTAGTCCTGGCCTCATAGCTCTTACTCCAGATTCCAAGGAGTGACTCCAGACTGCCTCCTCGGACATTACAAGATGAAAACAGAAGGCACAGGAAGAAGAGTGAGATGCCCAAACACGCAGGTTCTGGCTGCCAGACTGTCACCTGGGAAGGCATCAGGACCTGCCCTGCTGGAGGCTGAGACACGGGGTGACACTTGAGGAGGTGATCTTTAGGGCGGGGCGTGCCCATTCCTTTCTCAGAAAGAGGAAATAAGATGGATGCTATCTGGATGTCTCTGGGACTGAGAAAGGTCATATTTTAGACTTCCTCCTTAACTCAGGTATACCTAACCCATCTTTCCCCCTTCCTCACTTCAATCTGACACACTGTCATTTGGGGTAAATGAACCTCAGAGAGAAAGAGTAGCAGGAATGTCCTGTGGTCTCATGCACCCAGACAAGCATTCAACCATTGAGTTCCAGCCTGCGCCCTGTGCAGCTTTTCTTTCTTTCTCTCTTCTTTCTTTCTTTCTTTCTTTCTTTCTTTCTTTTTCTTTCTTTCTTTCTTTCTTTCTTTCTTTCTTTCTTTCTTTCTTTCTTTTCTTTCTTTCTTTCTTTCTCTTTCTTTCTTTCTTTTTCTTTGTTTGTTTTTTTGTTTTTCGAGACAGGGTTTCTCTATGTAGCTTTGCGCCTTTCCTGGATCTCGCTCTGTAGCCCAGGCTGGCCTCGAACTCACAAAGATCTGCCTGGCTCTGCCTCCCGAGTGCTGGGATTAAAGTCGTGCGCCACCACCGCTTGGCATGTGCAGTTTTTCTTAACGGCAGTTGTCAGAACAGGGCAAGCCTAATGCGCTTCCCTGCGTCTCAGGCAGATATCTTGCAAGGCTATTCTCTGCTGGGAGGAGGCAAGAGTCCCGCCCTGTGGATCTAATGCTGGAGCCCATGCGCCAGACCAATGAAGGATCCTTGGTGCTCTGGCCATCTCATGCCCCCACACTTCTGGAAGAATTCAGGATACTTCAGAGGAACAAGTGGACTCTGCTGAGGGGTGGAGACTCAGCTGTGCCCCAGTATTGGTGTTAAGACAGAGCTTCTGTGTGGCATATTGACACTAAGCCACTCCAAAGTAGGGTGGTCTGGTCTTGCCCTTCACAAGGGTGTTAATGACTCTGAACTTGGTCACACTATGACCTCAGTATGATTCCTAAAGGGACCAGACACAAGCCTTGCTCCCACAAAGCATAAAAAGCAAGGTGTGGTATGGGCTGCTTCGGAAGTTGCTCCTAGGCTGCCCTATGGGCACCAGGAAGGGGCAGGCACTTGTGGGGCTGTGGCAGGGTGACTAGGGGGTGGGTGGGGGTCAGAGGCTTTGGGCTAGCCTTTTGCAGACAGGCTGAGCTTCCTTGTTCCAGAGGTGACTCCGAGTCGCACTGGAGGACATGGGTGGAACTGCTCCTGCCTGTCCCTGGGCTTCACACCTTAGGTGTGAACTGGTGCCCTTTATAGCATCTGCCCCATGAATGGCTAAAACAACAACAACAAAAACCCAAGATTTATTTGGACATTTCTGCAAGGCCATTTTAACCATTTCTCATAAAACAACGTATGCTGGCTGACAAAATCAGAAATGAAAAAGTATAAAAGGAAACGACAACAACAACACCCAATGCTCATCTTTTGGATGAACAGGCGAAAGGGCCACAGTTAAAATCTGCATCCCCTGCACGTGCAGGACACAGAGCAACACTAATTATTTGTACAGCGATGCTGAGCACCAAGCTCTGCTCAGCTCCGGGGAGCGCCTTGCTCACCCTGGTCTCATGTCGGCCACATGCATGCAGATCCGCTATTAGCTCCCCAAGACCCCAGGTGCAGGCTGGGAGCTCCCCCAGAGAGCCTCAGTCCTGACACCGCTGTTCTCTACAGCTGAGTCTGGTCTCACAGCACCCAGAGCGAAAGATCCGCAGATGGGCCATCTACCCACAGGGCTGGCAGCACATTAACTGGAAAAGAACATTCTTTCTGGTTCCAACTGAGCTCCCTTTGTCAGCCAGAGATCGTAAGGTCTACCATCTGTGTACCAGCCTTGCCCTCGGTGGGAAGATGGAGGGCTCAGCAGCTGAGCAACAGAAAGTGGCTGATGGAGAACAGGCTCTGTCCTGTGCCATAGTGAGCGCCCAGTATAAACACCGGGAGCCCTTTCCTTACAAACCAGAACCTGCCATGGGCAAGACGGGAGGCCAGGGATGAATTCTTCATTCTCTAGGAAGTCAGGTGTCTTAGTCAGGGTTTCTATTGCTGCAATGAAACACTCGACCAAAAAGCAAGTTGGAGAGGAAAGGGTTTATTTGGCTTACACTTCAGCATTGCTGTTCATCTCTGAAGGAAGTCAGTACAGGAACTTAAGTAGGGCAGGAACCTGGAGGCGGGAGCTGATGCAGAAACCCTGGAGGGGAGCTGCTTGCTGGCTTGCTTTCCCTGGCTTGCTCAGCCTGCTTTCTTAGAGAACCCAGGACCACCAGCCCAGGGATGGCACCACCCACCATGGACTGGGCCCTCCTGCATTGATCACTAAATGAGAAAATGCCTCACAGCTGGATCTCAAGGAGGCATTTCCGCAGCTGAGGCTCCTTCCTCTCTGATGACTCCAGCTTGTGGGAAGCTACACAAAACCGGCCAGTTCACCAGGCAAGCCCCAGCACATCTGAGACAGGAGCCTCTGGCTCGCCCGGACCAGCATTTCCTGCAGGAATTCTCTTTGCTGAGACATGTATGGACCCCGGGTTGGCATGCTCCTCTCTGTGCTTCCTCACAGCTGAGCTCCATGACCAGTGGTCAGCAGCGGAGCAGACACAGGAAGAACAGTAGTTTCTGGCCAGTCTTACTGCAGGGGACCCTGAGTTCCTTCCTCAACTGAACTCAGTGATCAGTGTGACTCCTGCTCACCCTCCCCTGCAGCTCCTCCTTGGCTTCCCAGTGTCACCACTGGAGTCTCCAGGGAAGCCCCTGACTTTACCACAAGCCCCGTGAGGGGGCTCTTCTCTGACCCACCACAGGCTCCCTAACCTGAACTTCTTCCCGGGCGCTGGCTCTCCACTGGCTACAGGAAAAAGCCACTCTCCGCATTTGGCCAATTGCCTTCCATGGTTGGCATCACCTCATCAAAAGCCCCCTCACAGACTGCTTCCTCCAGAGTTGCATCCAGCTGCCCTGGCCTTGCAACACTTTCAAGGCCCTGTCCTTTACATGTCCTCCTCCTCTGCCTCTGTATTCTTGTCCTGCATGCCCATCAAATCAACGTCCGCTATGTAAGGTCAACTAAAGTGCATTCCCCCACTTTTACCCCCAAGTCAGAGACTCCAGTCCCTCTGGAGGCCACACGGGTGCACGGAGTCCATTGGACGGCCCTCAGGGGGCTTACAGGTCTGATTCACCAGCCCCTCAGCCAGGCTGTCACTCACCTGCTGTGTCCTCAGAGCATCCAGCTCCCTTTCCAGCCAGGTCCGCAGCCTGCGTTCCATCTGCTCTCGCTTCTCACATGCAGACTGCAGCTGGGTCAGGGCCTGCTGCAGCTTCTCAACCTTCTCCACATAGGCTTGCTTCTCTCGTAACTGAGGGGAGACAGTGAAAAGTGGACACCAGTGAGTGCTGCAGCTGGGCCGGAAGACAGCTGCAGCCCCCAGCCAAACTGCAGGCGTGTGCATCACCCCACTGCATCTCTCAGGAGCCTGTGGCAGGTACAGCAAGGTGGCCAGGAGGTCAGGGATGGAAGGCCTTATGAACAGCTCTGTAGTCTCCCTCATTACTTGTTTTTAATCATAGCACCTGCAGCCATTGGAAATGAGACCAACAAAAAGGTTTTAGTGTATAGAAATGCTTAGTCTCTAAAGTTAAATAAAAAAAATCATAAACCATAAGTTATTTACATTATCACAAACTGTATCTGTCTACCTATATACAGAGCTGTGAAAAAAAAAAGCCTGGAAAGATCCTTAAAGTATTTGTCATGTTTATCTGTATGGTAGAAAGGCCATTTATGCAAGAAGAGTAAGAAATTTACTATTTTCTAATTTTTCTCTAATAAATAAATATATAGTTAATACATGACAAATATAATTAATAAAACAATACAACATGCAATAAATTATATATATCTATACATATGATTTGTATATATGCATACACACATATCGTATATTTGCTAGTGAATAGAGAAGTGTCTTGCTTCAGCAGCTTATGGAGTAACTTTCTCCTCTGCAGCTGAATAGCTTCCTACAGGGACAGGAAGGGCACAGTGAACACCTGAGGCAATGACTGAGGAAGCAGAAACGAATGTCAACCAATTACATAAACATAACCCGGTATGGATTTAGTGTCATGGCCCACAGTGCCAACCCTAACCCTCAGTACTTGGCACTCTGTCTGCTCTGGGAGTCTGGCTCACATTCACAAATCCAGGTGTTTTCTAGCTTCCTGGGAATCAACTCGGGCCAAGAAATCATGCCAGAACATTTACTAGATCGGGTGCTCTGCAAGAAGAGAGCGACGATGCTGTTTTTCTGTCTCTGAGTGATTCCGCCCTGCGCTGAAGCATAATCACACAGGCAGGCTGCATCATGCCAGACCTGGCAGCCTGCTGCTGAGGGAGGCCTCTGGCTGTGCAGCCGCTCTGCCCTGAGCCATGCCTGCTTCTGCTCAGCCCTGTCAGAGCCACGGGAATAATACAGAGCCTTTCCGATTGTGCCAGGAGGGGACAGCCACAACTGACTTTAGGGCAATTTTCTTTCATGGTGCTTTTGATTGTTTACTTTAGAAGGCTTCTGAGAGTCTGCTAGGCAGGTTCCTGGGTTCAGTGGCCTCGCTGGAGCAAATGCTTCAGGTGTACCACCATACATACTTACTTACTGAGTATACAGCCAGCATGAGGTTTGTTTGTCTAGGTGTCTGTTGGACAGAGTGAGCAGTGTGTCTCCAATACCAGGCACAGACCAGCACCCATCAAGCACTCAATGTGTAATGTTAAATAAGAGAGTATCCCTGAACATCTGCAGGATCCTCGAACGTGTGGATCTGTCCCTACATCTGTTTCAACCTTAAGGCTGGCGAGGAGTATTTCCCAATGAGAATGATTTATGACAGCCATTCTACTTGCTAGAATTTTCAGAGCAATCCTGCATTAGGCACTATGCTTTGTAAGCTGTATCTCATTTAATCCTCCAGGACAATAAGAAGCAACATTCTATTCTGCCTCCACTTGGGGTCTGAGGAGGCTGAAAAGGCAAACAGGCCAAATGACTTGGTCATAGTCACGTAGCAGGTATGTCTGGGAGCTTGTGGGCTGCACTTTCAGCAGCCTGGCTCTGCACCCCTCTTGTAACAGCCACGGTAAAGTAGAACTGAGTGAGTAGTGGGTGTAAGACACAGGGGTGGATCAGAACCTTCCAAAGAAACCTGTATAAAAACAGGGAGTGGGAAGGAAAGCCAAGACCTGAGCCACTTTGGAGGGGCTTCCTGAGCTGTTTTAGAGGGGCTTCATTCCTCCAAACACAGACATGTAAAACTGAGGCCAAGAAAAGACCATGACAGTGCTTAGGAATCAGTGATAGGGCCATGACAGTGATCAGTCCCATCTTTAACGGCCCATAAACGGCTTTCACTTCTTATATAAGGAATATGAAAACTAAATGAAAGGGCCGACAAGATGGCTCAGTGGTGCTTGCTGTGCAAGTCTGCCAACCTGAGTTTAAGCCCTGGAACCCACACACAAGTTGGGGGAGAGAACCGACTCCATGAACTTGTCCTTTGAGCTCCACATGTATGCTATGACATGTGTCTTCCTCCACATGCATGCGATGGCATTGTCCTCCACACACCATGCACACACCATAATAATACATTTTAAAAGGGAACAAAAAAAGAGTTTACAAAACAGAATTTCCCTTAGCTCCATGCATAGAGACAAGGCCTCAAGAATGATTTCACTGAGGCCAACAATACAGGGGTCCAGGTCTCTCTTGCTCAGAGCAGACCTCCTATCAGCAAGGTCAAAGGGCATTTTCTATGATGACAAGGTAGATGCTCTTGGCTGCCACTCAGGATTCTCCTGCTGATATTATATTAAAATTTGAGCTTTTACATAGGACTTATAGGGTTAATGAACCCAAGGGGCACAGCCCTCGCTGCTTTCTATGCCAAGCACCAAGCTCGGTATTGGCATGCTCTCTTGCTGTCCTCCAGACTTCCTGGCATCCACTTGCCAAGATGATGTCTGCTTAGGATGCCCCATCACAGAGGTGCCAGCCACCTCTGCAGGGAACCACAAGGTGACATGCAGCCCTGTAGATAACATCTCTCCTCCTCCTGTCTCAGCTTACAGCCCACAGTCCCTAGCTTGAACCCTGCACATGGTTCTTCTGATTCCTCTCTTGGGGTAAAAGGGACAGTCAATGGAACGAACAAGCCTGGATTCATCACAAGCTGCTAACCCAGCATTTCCTGGGTTTGGGTGTGGGGCATGGCATGGCCAACCTAGACACAGAAGTGGGTCAGCTGAGCACCAGCCCAACCCCACCCAACCAATCCTTTGCCTTAGAATCGGGAGCACAAAGACCCAGCCACAGTCAGTCTCTTCTTACAGGTACTAGTGGCTTCTGGTTGTGCCAATCATTTGAAGCCCTGGGCACTTGCCTACCGACAGGGCAGGCTGTGGGCTCTTGGACCATGCTATTTACTACCTGTCTCAGATTCTGCCTGGTTCCATGATGGGTAAACCTTTTATTCATTTGCATCTGGCGGTTTCCCACAACTCTCCCGTCTCTCCTCTGCCCCCTCCCCATGTTGGTCTCACCTCTTCCTCCAGCTTGATCACTCTGGCCTGGGCATTGCTCAAAGCCTGGTCCAGGATCTCAATATGCCTCCGATGGTCCTCGCTTGCGTTCCGCACTGCTGCCAACTCCATTTCCAACTTTTCCTTTTCCTTCAAGAATTCTTTGTCTGGAAGGGGGAAAAAAAGCAGAACAAGCTCCATCAGAAAGTGCTCAGCCTCAGGCTCATTGCCGGGCTACATCTGGCAAGGACTGGAAACAAAAAACATGCGAATGGCAGTGAGTTACTGTTGCTGCTGCTTGGCAGGCAGTAATGGAGGGCAAGTGAAGTGAGGACTTCCTGAAACCCAGCCTTAACTCTACTCGGGACATGCTTCCGGTGATGAGGTGCTGGACCGCATCCCAGTGGGGCAGCGTGTTCTAAGCATGCACAAGGTCCTAGGTTTGATCCCAGCATAGCAAGAAGGAAGAGGAAAGTACACACAGGAGCCAACAGCCCCCAGTTCTCCGGGACTCACTTCTCTGCAACACTAACTGTGACACTCCCCATTACTCCTACACCTGCGATCTCTCTGCATGCTTCCAACCTCCCTTGTTTGCATCTTTCAAGCCTCAGGTCAAAGGGCAGGCACCACATGCAAAAATATTAAAATTCCCATCCACAGAACAGTAAACCAAGGTCTCTAGAGAGGGGTTCTTTCACTGCAGCATGATGAGGAGAAAGCTCTGGCCTGACCCCCTTCTCCTATGCAGGGCCCCAAATTTCCCCCTAGATCTGTCAAGAGGGGATAGGAACTTCAGATTTAGGAAAACCATTAAATGAAAGATGATGATCACATGCTTTTGCTAGTGGGAGCTGTGACCTAGTCACCTTCCTCTACTTTTCTGATCAGCCTTCCAAAGAACAGGAAAGACCACAGTCATGAGGCAATTGTTTCTTACGGAAAATATGTTGCTTGCTAAAAAAGCAGTATTTTTTTCATTTAAAAAATACATTCTCTAGATATGCTTTCTACAGTATGAAAATGCTAGAAAGAATTTAACATGTGAGAATCAAGGAGCCAGGCTGGATGGTGCAGGCCTATAATCCCAGATACTCAGGAAGCTGAGGCAGGAGGATGACAAGTTCAAGGCCTGACTGGGTCATAGTGACTTCAAAGCTAGCCTGGGTGACTTAAGTGAAAGCCTGCCTCCAAAGAAAAGTCAAAGGAGGACTGGAGGTATGGCTCAGTGGTTGGAGCACTTGCCTAAGGATATGCATGCCTAGATTCCATCTCCATTATAAGCAAAAAAGAGTAAGGGGTTGGTTAAACTATTAAATCCTACAAAAGAACCCCATGCAGCCTCTCATACTATAAAAACCATCATGGTTGATGAGTTTGCTGGTTAGTCTTTCAACAACTTTATACAGGCTAGGGTCATCTGGGAAGAGGGAACTTCGGTCAAGAAAATGCCTCCATGAGATTCACCTGTAAGCAAGTTTGTGGGACATTTTCTTAATTAATGATTGAGGTGGGAAGGCCCAGCCCACTGTGGGCAGTGCCACCGCTGGGCAGGTGGCCCCATGTTGTATAAGAAAGCAAACTGAGCAAGCCGTGGGGGAGCAAGCCTGTAAGCAGCACTCCTCCATGGTCTCTGCTTCAGTTCCTGCCTCCAAGTTCCTGCCTGGAGTTACTGCCCTGGCCTCCCCGATGATTGTAATCTGTAAGCTAAATAAACCCTTTCTTTCCCCCAAACTTTTCTTGGCTGGTTCTGGTGTTTATCACAGCAACAGAAAGCAAACAAGAAGGCCTGATAAAAGGTAATTAGCAAAACCGTACACACGATATTCATATTTATAGAACAGAAACACATAACTCTGACAGCAGCTTCAGCAGGATTTGGTTCTCTGCATCGCGACACCTGCAGACTGTTACCAGCCCTCCCAGCCACACACACTGGAAGCTAAGCCAGCATGCTGCAGTGGGTGCATTCATTCATCAAACATTTCCCTCCACGGGCGATCACTCACAGATGTAAACAAGCAGCTCTCGAGCACCGAGGTCCACCACCTTGAGCTGAGCAGCAACTGAAAGAGCGTTTCCCCAAAGTTGCAGAAAAGGTGGGTTTGGATAAAGGGTGTGATGACAAAGAGGCTGAAGCTGCCCTTGTTAGTCAACAGTCACCAGGGAAAGGCACGGGGCACACAGAAACCAAGCACACTTAGCACTGTGGGTAAGGAGAGGAAGACCAGGAGCAAAGGCCTGTGTCCGGGCCCACTGCCAGCTGAGGCAGAACAGGAACCCAAGGTGCCTGGCACCCACTGGGGTGTCCTTCTCACTTAACTGAGCTGTACCTGCAATAGCAAGTTATGTCAGTGGGGCCAAAGGGCAGGATGCTTCAGGGAGACAGACGACTACTGCTCAGCTGGGGACAGGGTGTACTTCCTAGAAAGGAGCTCAGTGACTTAGGTCACCAAAACCCACTCCCAGAGCAGAGCTAGACTTTGGGTTTCTTCTGTCCCACTGCAGTGACCAACTACCATCCCTCCTTATAACTTCTGCAGTGACCAAACACCATCTCTCTCCTTATAACTTCTGCAGTGACCAAACACCATCTCTCTCCTTATAACTTCTGCAGTGACCAAACACCATCTCTCTCCTTATAACTTCTGCAGTGACCAAACACCATCTCTCTCCTTTTAATTTCTGCAGTGACTAACTACCATCCCTCCTTATAACTTCTGAAACCACCCCCACCCCCGCCGTCATCTATGTAGCTCTTTGAACAGGTACTTTTCACTGTCGTTTCCTTTGTAAGCAAGAAGAAGACCAGTGGTGGGTGCACGTTTGCTTTTAATGGTAAAGACCAGGTTTTGTGAATTTCAAATCTTTTGCCTCTCCAGTGTTCTCTGGTTCCATTGAGATATAGCTGTGGGCTCTCACTGTAATTCATGAATATAAAAACAGTTCCAAAACCTAATTGAAAGGAACAGGGTTCAGAGTTTCTCTCCCCATATTCTATCTGATTTCTGTTATTGGCAGGGGTGGGAGTACATTTGCTTTCACAGACATTTTGAGAAAACTGGTTTTTCAAAACTCTAAATTCTGTTCTGGTCTATATTTTTTACTGGGAGCATTTGAAGAGGATGTTTTGTTCTCACTGGATCTGAGTGAGAGATCAATGAAGTGAGAGTGTGGCATGTGAATTCTACCAGAACCCACTTGGGAGGCTCTCAGTCTCTTTCTGTTCCCTCAGGACATCAAGACTTCCAATATATGAACTTTGTGTTCACGCCCCAGGATGCATCTCAGGGTAAACTGTGAAACTGTCAGCGTCCCCAGCACTAGGAGTTGACCTTTGGGAAAAGAGGGAAGATAAGGAAAAGCAAACCCCAATTCTAGCCTTGGCTTTGCCATTAAACATTCGCAAGGGCTCAGCAAAGCACTCCGGCTGCTGTGTGTGACAGGCATTCTCTCTCCTTCCCATTTCTTTTCTTCTTCTTCTTCTTCTTTGTGTATGTGGGTGCTTGTCCCTTTGTACTTACATGTTTTGCATCAGGGTGAACACCAAGCAAAAAAGCGAAGCTACTTCCTACATACCTCCTCTTTCCCTCTTTTTTGCATCAGCCAAGGTTGCTGTCAACCCCACAGCCCAGCCCTTATCCATGCATCCATGTGTCATTACTAATGTTAGACTGTCTTTCCCTTCTCTGAACCAAATGCTAGAGTTCCAAAGGACTAGTTTGAAAAGGATGCTGCCCCTTGGATGAGTGATATTGGAATTATGATGACTAGGGTTTGATGACCTTTTCTAACACTAGGGTTTCTGGAAGAATACTGTGTAACAGAACATGTTAATAACAAGGAAGAGATGTGGTACTTCATGCCTGTAATTCTCTATCCACATGCCAAATGAAAGCCTGGTGGAGCGAATCTCCCATGCAACATCCTGCATATCTCTGCATCTTTCCTTACAGCTGTTTCCGAGGCTACAGATGCAAGGGGAAGACTCTGTAGCTCAACTCTAACTCATCGTCTGACCCAGACTTGTACTTCCTGCATCTTATTTAGTAAGGGTTTGAACAGGAGTTGAAAACTGGACACTTGGTTGTGCTATCTGGGGACACTGTGGAACTTTCAGAAGATGGGACCTTACTGGAGAAAGTAAGTCACTCAGGGGTGGGCCTTGAGGTTTATATCCACTTCCTGTCCTCCCCATTTCCTGATTGCCTCCTCCATGCAACCATCCACTTCATGTTCTTGTCACCACGCCCTACTGGCCAGAATAGACTTTATCCCCTCACACCTGGACCAAAAATAAACGTCTCTCCCGGTAAATTGTTCTTGTCGGGTATCTGGCCACATCAATGGAAAAGTAACTAATGACATCATCTATCTGGTTGGTTGGTCATATCTGCTCCATACTGCCATTACCCAATTGGCCACCAATCCCTAGTCATGTATCATCTGCTTCTCTGGCCCTGTCTCCATTACTGACTGCTGCTGTTTCAGTAGAAGACACTAAAGTGCCCCTATATTAAAGCGTCTATTCTCTCTGGTCAAGGTAAGTCCCTCCTCTTTTGTTATCTACTCTGCCTACCTAGCTGGCCTTCAAAACATTACACATCAACAGTGGAATCACACCATCTTTTAAGAAGGCACTGCTGAATAGTGTTTTGAACTTAGATTTATGTCTAACACGGCCTAAAACTAAAAAGAAGTCGAAACATGACATAAAACCTGGAAGGTGTTAAGTGCAGTTACTTGAAAATCTGTAAGATAACAAACATCATAATCAATCACCCCCTACTGTAAGGAGAAGCTTCTCTGATGAGGGTTGAGTGATGCCCTCATCTATGGGTACAAGAGTATGCCATTAGCCATTTTTTTGCATTATTCTAGTAGAATAATGTAGCATGCTCTCTCCTAGATCCCACATGTTCTTGGCCTAATTAACAGTGTGAGGCACGGATCACATCTTGTGGGGTGGGCCTGAAATCTAAGTTTGAGAGTGGTTGGTTGCCCCACAATGTTTCTGCCACTACTGCACCTGTGGACATATTTTGACAGGCAGGTTGGTATTGTAGCTTGCTGGTTCACAGCTAGGTGAGACTTTTTTACTCCAGTAGCATGCTGTATTAGTTACTTTGATATTGCTGTGATAAAACACCACAACCAAGGCAACTTATAGGAGAGTTTATATGGTTCCAGAGGGTTAAGAGGCCATCATGGCAGGAATTATGGCAGCAGGAAGTAGGCATGGCAACAGGAACAGCTGAGCGCTCACATCTCAAACTGTAAGCAGGAAGTTGAGAAAGCCAATCCAAAAAGGAGAAAGTCTTTAAACTCTTAAAGCCTGCTTCTAGTGACATACTTTCTCCAACAAGGCCACACAACTCCTAAGTTTCCCAAATAGCGCCATTAGCTGGGGACCAAGTACTTAAATTCCTGAGACTGGGGGACATGCCATTCAAGCCACCATACATGCATGGCACTCTCCAGCACTAGGAATGCTTGCAAGTACAAACACCTGGGAATGTCTGCACTGTAACTCAGGGATGTGCTAATTTTCTCAGTATTCAAAAGGTTCTCAGGATTCACTAAGGAAAAAGTCCTATGTAAATATGGAATAACATCCTGGGTCCATCTCTTAGCCACACCAGAAGAGCACAACATTTTGAATCCTATAACACCGAGGAAAGGGGGAAGATGTGCTGTGAAGATTATGTGTGGGTAGACTGGTTAAGGAGCACCATTACCAAGCCTGTCTGAAATGCCCTGCCTAGACTCAATAACCTAACACATCAACCTTGGGATACCTCTAAGCAGTTGACAAATGTCTGTGGCCTCTTTGTCTATGCCTTTGAAGGCCAGCAAAGCATGTTGGTGCAGAACAAATCATCCCCTATAAATCCAGAAGGGCCTCAATGCCTGATTGTTGATGTTTCAGCTTTGAGCCAGAGGCAAAAGTCTTCAGGAATGTGAGCTCACCAACACCAAACCCTATCATTCCATCAGCATCAGCCTTGGCTGGGAGACCAAAGGAATGCTCATTACATGACATGAACTACATGATAGACTTACACCCCAACAGAGCACAGCCAGCATATCTCCCTCTGTCAAGACACACGGTCATCCAAAAGGAAGGTGTCCATACCGTCCATGCAAATAGCACAGAGGCCCTGGGTTTCTATTGCTGAGATGAAACACCATGCCCAAAAGCAAGTCGGGGAGGAAGGATTTATTTGGCTTACACCTCCAGATCACAGTCCATCACTGAATGAAGTGAGGACAGGAACTTGAACCTGGAGGCAGGAGCTGATGAGACGTGCTGCTTTCTGGCCTGCTTCCTCTGGCTTCCTTAGCCTGCTTTTTCTTTCTTCTTTCTTTCTTTCTTTCTTTCTTTCTTTCTTTCTTTCTTTCTTTCTTTCTTTCTTTTTTTTTGAGACAGGGTTCCTCTGTGTAGCTTTGCGCCTTTCCTGGAACTCACTTGGTAGCCCAGACTGGCCTCGAACTCACAGAGATTCGCCTGGCTCTGCCTCCCAAGTGCTGGGATTAAAGGCATGGGCCACCACCGCCCGGCTAGCCTGCTTTCTTATAGCACCCAGGACCCCAGCCCAGGGGTAGCACCACCTACAATGAGCTAGGCCCTTCCATGTCAATCACTAATTAAGAAAATGCCCTACAGGCTTGTCTACAGAGGCATTTTCTCAGTTGAAGTTCCCGCCTCTCCAATGATGCTAGTTTGTGTCAAGTTGACATAAAACCAGTCAGCACAACTTTCCAACATAAGCTCAGATGAGACAGCAAATGTATGACATCAATATGAACAGACACCTTCGTTCCGTAAAGCAGGAGTTAAAGGGTCAAAGAGTCACAGCTGTTTCTGTGACTCCGGAGCACACAGCAATCAACTACTGCAAGACTGCAAGGGATGTGAGGCAGAGGCCTGCTTGGCCAGTGAGCCCTTGCCAAAGAGGCAATTTAAATAAAGGCAGGGCTTGAAACTGGATCCAATCATGAGTCAGTTTGGGAGCTGGAAAGGAAGTTAGGCCAAATTACCGAAAATCACAAAATTCAGCGAATTATTTCTCAGTCTTAGGAATTTAGGGCTTTGACAAACCCATACATCAGGATACAATTATGGGAAGACGGATGACTACTTCTTGAATATGGTAATTTTCGTTGTTTTGAGTTGTCTTTAAGCTGTGAGCACTTCCTCATGATGTTGCTAAGAATTATGACATACACCAGAATACAATTTTCTAAACAGCTTTTTTAAAAAAATGACAGTTGCAGTTTTACATTTCTGGCTCATGCAATGAGTTTGCAGAAATTCAAACCTTGGCTGATGGTTTTTCCAAACCCATTTGATGCTATCATTTGCCTCTGGCACAATTAATAAAATATGTTCCCAATAAATCTGGAGGCTTACAAAGACACTGTCCCTACTCCTAAAAGAAGTGGACTCAGAGGCTTCCGGGACACTAAGCCCGGGGATGAGTAGTGCGGTGATTCCCATGGAGTGTGTACAGGACGTAGTGGCCTGGACCCCTGGCCTGTCCAGAGCACCCCTGAGGGGTGGTGACACTAACAGCGCCACCACCGAGTAGCCTGTCCTTTCCTGGAGAAAAGGTCATGACTTATTTGAAACAGTGAGTGCAGGAAGCACTGTGCTTCCTGGAAGGGATGATGGGCAAGCGAGGAGCTGCAGGTCAGCTTCATTAGGTTAAGAAACGCCTTGGGCACTTCCAGAGAGCAATGACTGAGGAAAGAAGCCCGTCCCAGAATGTGGGCCAGGGTCCCAAGCTAAATGAAAAGAGGGAAATGAGAAAGCAGGCAGAGTGCTTCCTGATCTACCCGATCACGAACACCCCGCCACGTGCACCCCCCGCCACGCCCTTCCCCACCATGATAGGCTGTATTCTCAAACCATGAGCTAAAATAAACCTTTCCTCCCACAAGATGCTTTCAGTCAGGTGTTTGTCACGGCCACAGAAGACTAGCTAATACACAGACAGGCTCAATATTACTGAGCTGAGGCCTGTCAGCCTCGGCTTCTCCCCTGACGGACTGAGGAGACTCTCATCTGAGGACTGCAGGTCACAGGCTAAATTAACTCACAGAAAGAAAACAGCACAGAACCTACTAGAAGCTAGTGTGAGTCTTGCCTCGGTCCCCTGTATTCTAAAAATGAAAGCTGCAGACACACAGACTCACTCTGGGACATGTAATGGTCCTCTGCAGCCTTGTCCTCGTGCTCATCATAGTCTCTGCTGGACAGCTGCCTGTTGGCTGTCTCCAGTCGGTCTACAAAGAAGAAATGAGCCCAAGTCATCACACCACGGAGAAATATGGTCCATACCAAGAGCTGCGTATGAAGAGAGATGATCAGGCAGGGGCCCAGACTGAGCGGTTTGAGGGTATTCACCAAGCTGTCATAAGAACCTTGTGGGGCTGGGAACGGGCTCAGTAAAGTTCATTCTCACAGCATAATGACTTGAGTTTGATCCTAGCACTCATGTAAAAGCTGCATCTGTCATCCAGCTCTGGGAAGTGGAGACAAGAGGACCCCCAGGGCCTGATGGTCAGCCAGCCTAGTGATATCAGCCAGCGTCTGGCTCAGCAAGAGACCTAGTTTCAAAAAAGAAAACCAGGGTGAGGCTGGCCAGGCAGTCCAGCAGGTAAATAGGCTAACCATGAAGGCCAGACTACTTAAGTTCAATTCCCAGACCCACAACAAAGCAGTGGTTTGCATCTATAACCCCAGTCCTCTTGTGAAGAGACGAGAGAATCACCTACAAGTTCATCAGTCAGCTAGCCTGGAGCATGAACTATGGCAGAAACACCAAGAGAGACCGTACCTCAACAAGGTAGAGAAAACCAACGCTCAAAAGTTCTCCTCTGGAGTAAACACACACACACACACACACACACACACACACACACACACACACACACACAGAGAGAGAGAGAGAGAGAGAGAGAGAGAGAGAGAGAGACAGACACAAACACACACACAGACACATACACAGAGACACACAGAAAGAGACACACACACAGACACACACAGAGAGAAAGGGACACACGGACACACATACACACACACACACACACATACACGCAGCCACAGAGAAAGCCACACACACAGACACAGACACAGACACACACACACACACACACACACACACACACACACACACACACAGAGAAACGTAACCATGGAAGACCCCTGACAGTGACAGCATCAGAGACCAGGTCGCACCTCGGAGATCTCTGTTGAAGTCATGAAGTCTCCGGATCTCGCCTTCTAGCTTGTTTCTCATGGCCTTGTCCAGAGACTCACGCTTGGTGGTGGACTTGACCAGGCTCTCATAGGCTTCCGAAATCCTCTGCAGCTCTTTTTCAAACTGTAAGAAAGACCTCGAATCAAAGTGGCGTTTGTGACAGGGGGTCTGCAACGCTGGCTGCACAGCACCCTGAGTGTGAGGCTGCATCTTCATGGACCCTTTCTGGGTCTCCAGTTTCACATCTACTCCAGTTCGCTCCTCCTCCTGCCCTGTAAGAGTGTCCGTGACCCTGTAGAGACAGTCTCTCAAATCTGGCCATGCTGTCTAACATCACCCAGTAAAGTCTCCCAGGAGTCAGGAGTGCATCTAAGTATAACTGAAACGTCCCTTTTAAAAGATTTATTTGCTTATTATTGTGCATGTGTGTGTGTGTGTGTGTGTGTGTGTGTGTGTGTGTGTGTGTGTATCCAAGGAGTCCAGAAGAGGGTGTTGGGTCCCCGGAGCTGAAGTTCCAAGAAGATGTGAACCACCCAATACAGGTACTGAGAACTCAGGTCCTCTGTGAGAGCAGCAAGCACCACTGAGCCATCTCTCCAGCCCCTAAATATCTTATTTTTGTATTATCATTTATAATGATTAATGAAGTTCCAATTTCACATAAGGAAGATATTAAAGTGAGGGAAAACTCAAGAATTCCAACTGAAACTCAGACTTCCAAACTCTAAGCACATTGTCCTTTCCAGAGACCCTGCTCCTGTCTCCATGCCAGGCTGGGCTCATTACGGACCGTTGTCTGTGGAACAGCTCTATGGAGAATGAACACACTTGAACCTAACTGTAAACAGATGTGCAGTAGAAAACCTCTCCATATGAAGGACTGTGAGGGATGGGATTTAAACTGTAGGTGTGAGCTCATTTGTTCGTATCTTACCACGAATCCATGGAGCCTCTAACCTACTGTGAAGACAGATTCAGCAAGTAGCTGGCACTGTCACAATGGGAACCCAGCATGGTGGCGTTTCCAAGTGGAAACTCACAACTTCTAGCACAGTGTTGTGTAGCGCAGACCAGGTGACAGACAGGACATGGGATGAGTCTAGACGCCCATCCAACAGACAAATGGGTAGAGAAAATGTGATTTAATATAGTGCAGCTTTATTCATCTATAAAGAAAAATGAATTTATGTCATTTGCAGGGAAATGGTGTAAGTGAAGTAAGCCATACTCAGAACCACATGACAATATGTTTTTTTCTCATAACTGACTCTAGTTTTGTTGTTTTTTTTTTTTAAATTTATGTGTATAGAGCATGAAATGTGAAGGGGCTGTTTGGGGGAGAAAGGGACTCATCGGAGGGGACAAGACTTTGCAATGGGGGTAAAAGGACTGTAAGCAAGTGTCAAGGTGTGTGAAAATGTTAGGGTGGAACCCACTAGTTTGTAAGCCAACTGACAAAAGTTGTTTAGATGAATGGAATAAAAAAAAGGACCGAAAGAGATGCGCACATGTGGAACTCAAGTGACTGCTGAAGGCAGAGCCTTAAGCTCTGGGGTAGAAAAGCCCTTGTGGCATCACCCTCGTCACCAGGTCAGAGCCATGTTTTTAGTCCCTCCATGGAGCAGACAGATCATCTAAGGGGGGTGGAGCTGAGAGAGCAAGCTTCCTTTGGGACCATGATCCTCCCTTCGGCCTCCTTATGTAGGAGTTGGCTCTTTCCTTCACCCACTCTTCAACAATGCCTTTCTGCTTCTTCCAGACCTATCAGGAGTGGCCGGTGTGTCCTGAATTGTGTTCATGGTATGGCTGCCAAGGATACTCCTTCCTCTGAATTGCATTCAAAACAGGAAGTGCCAAGACAGGCCGTCAGACTCGTAAGATCTCTATGAACATATTTGTGCTCAGAAAAGAAACCCAAGCATCCCACAGTGTCCCGCCAACGACAGCACCTCTCTCCTTCCCGAGGCCCATCCAATTACCTCAGCATGTCACGTACCTTGTGAAGCTTGTCGGCGTTGTCATAGCAGCCCTGAAGCTCCTGGTGAAGCACACGATTCTCCTCTGTGAGGATCTCCACCATTTGCTGGGCTCGCTCCACAATCGCAAAGGCATCTGGTCCAAGCTGCTGGCTGGGGGAGGCCGGTGGAGGCTGTGGAGCTGCCAGGCTCATGGGAAGCGGAAGAGGCAGGGAGACGGAGTGCAGGGGCCCACTGATGGAGGACGTCTGAGAGGACATGGGACTATGCTGCTGCACCGTGGATGGAAAGGGGAGCTGGCATGGCCGGCTGTGAGGGAAGAGAGGACCCGGCATCAGACTCCAGAGGAAGTATGGGGGAGGAAGGAAGGTCACCAGCACAGGCAGTGACGGGGGCTTCCCTGGGCAGGGGCCACCCATGCACTTCCCCACACTCAGCTAAGCAGCAGGTTCAGGCTCAGAGGCATTTATCATATTCCTCTCACCAGCACTGGCTACTGGAACGACAGTGGACAAGCCAGTCTCTGCTCTGTAGGAGAGACAGGCAAGCCACACTAGAATTAGACAAAGCTGAGAGTGGAGTCCTACCCTCCAAAGAACAGAATTCTGGAGAAGCCATTTCTATGCGAGAGGTCAGGGAAAGAGTCTCTGACAGGCAGGAGTTCGGACTGAAGTCTGTAAGGCAGCCAAGAGGGGGCAGTGGCTTGGACGGAAGGTGAAGTGGGGGAAAGGCGTATTTCGGATAGAACTGGCCAGGGCACAAGGCCTACGGCCGGGACTAGCACCAGCCGGCATCACTCAGCAGAACAAAGCAAATCCATACAAAGCACTGTAGGCAGACAGCCACGCCAGGCAGGGGTGGCAGGGCCTGTGGCAGCCACAGCCACGTTAGGCAGGGGTGGCAGAGCCCGTGCAAGCCACAGCCATGCTAGGCAGGGGTGGCAGGGCCCGTGCAAGCCGCAGCCACGCTAGGCAGGGGTGGCAGGGCCCGTGCAAGCCGCAGCCACGCTAGGCAGGGGTGGCAGGGCCCGTGCAAGCCGCAGCCACGCTAGGCAGGGGTGGCAGGGCCCGTGCAAGCCACAGCCACGCTAGGCAGGGGTGGCAGGGCCCGTGCAAGCCACAGCCACGCTAGGCAGGGGTGGCAGGGCCCGTGCAAGCCGCAGCCACGCTAGGCAGGGGTGGCAGGGCCCGTGCAAGCCGCAGCCACGCTAGGCAGGGGTGGCAGGGCCCGTGCAAGCCGCAGCCACGCCTCTGGAAGGGGCCAGTCGGGGCTGCCTTGCTAGGAGTGATGTGCAGGAACTCGATGCACAGAGCAGAGCCCAGGAAGGAGGTCTGGGTGTGGCCCAGGGGAGAAGCTGTGTGTATATGAAGGATGAGGAGATAAAGGGAGAAGATAAAATATTACTTCTAGATTTGGGGCTTAGTGAGAAATGGGTAGTGGTACTAATTAATCTAATGGAAAAGTACAGGCAAAGATCGATGTTCTGATTTGTCTGATCTGAGGTCTAAACATCCAGACTTCAAATCTAGCCTGATGACCAAAACAAAACACCCAACCAACAGTGTCCTTTAATGGCTGAATTCCTGGTGTTGGGTTTCAACCTGTCATCACGAATCTCCACCTCCTGTCTCTATCCCCCTAAATTCTGCCTTCACTATCCTGTTAACCTGTCTCATGAGAATCACTGTGTTTTCTCTCAAGCTAAGTCAGCAGCTCCTCACAGCAACCTCCCGGGTACAGGAACAAACAGCACACTAAGTCTTGATGTCTGGTCCTCCCGTCCCTGCTGCCTGGCTTAGTGTGAAGAGCACCATGGAGTCAGGCAGGCACATGGGTTATCATTCCCGTGCCGAGGAACAGCCTGCCCTCACCAGAGACAACATGATGGTGGGCCACCACCAGAATAAACACTTCCTAGTTATAGAGACCAGAGCGGGAAAGAGGGCATGCGAGACCACCTTTATTGAGAAACACAGTGACTGTACTTCCAGGCTGTAACTGACAACTTGCGAGCCACTTTGCCCCGCTGGATTGTGGTGGAGCGTCCCACCTGACACCCACCCCTGGAGACCAGCCGTTCTCCATCACTGTATCCTCGTACAGAGCCGGGCCTGGGGCACTTGTGAGCAGCCCTCAAAGCTTCACGATGGCTAACAGCTCCTGAGCATTTCCTACCATCCACCATGGTTAGCCTGTGCTACAGGCATCGTCTCACTTTGACCTTTATAAAGCAGGTATCAGGCTGATGAGCTGGCTCCGTGGGGACAGGTGCCTGCCACCAAGGTTGACGACCTGAGTTCGTTCCCAGGTCCCACATGGTGGGAGAGAAGCTGTTCCCACAGGTTATCTTCTGTCCCTCACACACACACAGCATGGCACGTGTGCCCTTGCACACACCTGTATGTATACACACACACACACACACACACACACACACACACACACACACACAGGATATCACTGTCTATTTAGATTTGATAAAACAGAGGCAAGAGAGAGTCGAACATGGTTTATGCTGAGTTTGTAGAGAGCACCCACACCACATCCGTGGAGGGACCACCCTGTCTGCGAGGTAGACCTTCGCCACCTTACTGAGCACCCATAAGAATAAAAGCATGTTCTGCTGGCCTGTTCTCCTGAGAATACAGGTTCAGAAGGTCAGCAGGTCTGGCTCCTTTCTCAGATGACCAAAGGAGCCTTGAAATACCAAAGGTGTGAACTGTTTCTATCTAGTGAACTGGTTTTTCTTAATATATCTGAGTAAGAATTAGAATTAAAAGCCTTCCTTTCCCCAAGGTCATGGTCAGGTAAGAAAATCAGGGACAGCGTGATCTGGAAAGCAGTGTCCTGAGAGACAGAGAGGCCCAGGGCTGGCTCTGTCAGGAATGGCCTGAGCCGTTCTCTTTGGCTGGCTTCCAGGATGTGCACCTGAACCTCCATCGCTGTCCTACCCCCCCCCCCCACGACCTGCTACAGCCAGCCTTATGCTATCTCTACTCTCGAATTTATGCTTTAATATTACTTAATGTTCTATACGCGTGCCTTTTCTTCTATCTAATTATTAGTGTGCAACTTTTCCAACAAAAGACGCTTACGACTCATAGTAACTTGACATGCAGTCATTTCTGTTAATTGATCTAATCCCCAGCTCTGAGACCAAGTTGGTTCCTATTTGTATGATTGCTTTTCAAAGAAGAGACAAAACTTCTGCTGTGTGATGAAGGGGATAACCCCTTCCAATCACAATCACTTAGACCTGGGATCGTGAAGATCCTTACACAGCAACAGTAACTCTGCTCTTCCCCTGTGTTACTCTGTCTGGAGAAACAGGTCGTTAGTAACATGTTCCTCTCAACATAGAACAGCCTTCAGAAGCATATTAAACAAGTCTTTACATTCTCCCAGCAAACAGCTGTGGCATGAATAGCACTGATTTAATCTGCGTCTCACTAACCTGGGCATCCACTGTTCCCACACCAGGTGCACATTATTCTATTTCATAAGTATGCAAATTAAGGCTCTCAGGATTTACAGAGAACCACAGAGCTGACATTCTGTCCAAAGTTAAAAACACTTCCCAAACCACACACTCCCACCACACCAGGGCCCCTCTGTCAGCACCATAGAATGGAGGCAAAAAACCAGAGCCACTTCAGGGCACCGCCGGGACACATCAGAACACGTCACCAGTCTCAGATCTCACTCCTGCTGGCCCAAAACAGATGCAGAGGTGGCTGAGCACGTGCTCTGAGGAAAGGCATCAGAACACAAAGACGAAATAAGAAAACATCTCGATGGTTTTCAGACTGATTACTTGCTGAAAGATAATATTTTAGATACTGGATTAGCTAGAGTGTGAGGAGTCTGTTGTTTGGACTTTGTTATATCTAAGTGCTACATACATATTTGTTTGTGTGGATGTGTGCACGAAGATTTGGGGGCATGTGTGTCTGTAGGCCAGAGGTCAATGTCCAGTGTCTCTCCTGAATCACTCTCTGCCTTCAATTCTTGAGACAGAGTTTCTCACTGAACCTGAAATACATCGATTCAGCTGGGCAATCCTCCCGTCTCTGCCCTCCAGCCTGAGGTTACAGGCAGGCACCACCACACCACGTTCTGGGGATCCAAACGCAAATTTTCAAGTTGTGCAGCAGGCATTTTACTAAATCATCCCTTCAGCACAAACATGTCTTTTAAATGTTTGAAGTGAATCAGCAAATAGACTTCTAAATAAATTTCATCTGTGTCTTTTCATATTTTACAAAGGGGCTGGAGAGGTGGTTCAGTGGTTAAGCGCACATTCTGCTCTTGCAGAGGACCAGAGTTTGGTTCCCAGCACCCACATTGGGTGGCTCACAACTGCATGTAACTGCAGTTCCAGGGGATCTGGCACCATCTCCTAGTCTCTGTGGGCAACCACCACATGTGGCACGCATGCACACACACAATTTAAAAAATAGAAAGGTGTTAAATAATTGTCCAAAGCAGAATGTATGAAGGCTTCCAACTGAAGAGATGACCAGCATCCAAATTACAAATCCTAGTTCAACTAAATAGTACATCTTAACCATGAGAAGAAATTGGATGAGTACTCTAGAGCTTTAGATATTCCAGTATGTTATCTCACAAACTAATACAAATTAATAGAGTTGGGTTTTTTTTGTTTGTTTGTTTTGTTTTTTTCCGGAGCTGAGGACCGAACCCAGGGCCTTGCGCTTGCTAGGCAAGTGCTCTACCACTGAGCTAAATCCCCAACCCCCAAATTAATAGAGTTTCAAAATAAAAAATATACTATGAAAGGGGACACTGGAAAGTTTTCTATGACATACATGCCCATACAGTATTTCTATCACATTTTGATTGATTATGTGTGCATGCCTCTGTATGTACCTGTGTATGTACATGCGTGTATGGGTTGTACAGGTGTATGAATGTGCTGTGCATGTGTATGTATATATGTGTGCATGCAAATGCATGCATGTGGATGTCCATCGTAGCACATGTGCTGAAGTCGGAGGATAACTTGAAGAGACAGCTCTGACCTTCCACTTGAGGTCAGTAGGCTTGATGGTTAGTGCCTTTCCCTGCCACGTCATTTCACTGGCCCTGCCCTGCACCGCTACAGGGCCAAACTGCACATCCACCAAACAGCCTCTCCTTGGAAGCCAATCCAGAATTCAGTGGTAAATGCCCAGCTGTCCCCACGCGGCCTCAGACCATGAATGCACAGAACGGGAAGTGCATGCTACATTCTGTGCGTTAAACTCGATGTGTATCCACAGGTCAGTAGTTACAAAAAATGGATTGTC